AGGGTGGATGGATGGATGGGTGGATAGACAGGAAGATGAGGGTGGATGGATGGATGGGTGGATAGACAGGAAGATGAGGGTGGATGGATGGATGGACAGTGGGAAGAAGGGACAGATGATAGAAGAGATAGAAAGATCGGTGAATGGACAAATGGGTGGATGGGCAAGTGAAAGAGTGATTGAGTCAGGAGAGGGATGGATGAATGAATGATGGACAGACAGCAGTGAACGAGTGGATGAGTGGATGGATGGACAGTAGGAAAGGGGAGGGAGGGATAATAGAGAGAATGCAGAGATGAGCAGGCGGGCAGTGGAGCAGTTGACTCAGTGATGGCCATCAGACAAGCGGAAGAAGGGAGCGTGGAAGATGAGTTGGGTAGATGTACAGGTGGGTAGGTGGATGGTTGATTGGACAGATCGACAAGAGCTTCAGAGACAGAAGTCCAAACTGACAAACGTCTAGACAAGACAATTCTCCTCTTGGTAGTAGCAGACCTCAGTCTAGGGCCTGACCCTCAGGTGGTCAGCCCAGCCCGGGGTCCTCCCTCCCAGGGGCAGATGGCCCACACAGTGCGTGCCGGCCTGCAAGCCCATGTTCCCTGTGAGGAAAGAGGAAGGCTCGTACCTCAGCAGGTTCTTCCTGGGCTCCCCTCTCCCCCTGCTCCCGCACAAGGTCCCTTAATTACCTTTTAATGACCAGCTTCCTGCCTTTCTTCAGCACCCATTCGCTCAGTTGCTTTTGGCCCAATGGGAATTTCCTGATTAGGCTCCATCTCTTCCTGGATCCTGGGTCTTGGGGACCCCCTGGTGAGACAATGCCACAAACCCTCCCTTTGACCTTTTCTTCCAGAAGTTATTTTAGCGGAGAGCCACCTGCCCACCCCTGCCCCCACCTAACCCCTAAGCTGATTCCCAGAACCTACCCCCAGACTGGGAGGGAGGGGGCCACATGGTTTCCGCCAATGTCTGGGCTAGACTGGAGGCTGGCTTGGGTCCCCTCCCCTGGACCTAGAGGGCTGGTTTGGGACCCCCGGCTGGAGAAAGGAAGGTCTGAAGGGGTGGGGGAGTGGGCAGGGCAGCCTGGGAACAGGGGCAAGGAGGAAATGTGATGTGGACCAGGAAACAATGACTAGCCCCAGGGAGTGGGAGACCCCAGTGGCCTGCGCTTTCCCAGACTCGAAGCGAGCCTTAGGTGCCAGGCAGTCCTTCGGGGCAAGGGGTGCTGCCTACCTCTGCCTGCCTCTCCACACAGCCCGCTGCAGAAGGCCCGGCAGTGGCCTGGCTGGGGCAAGGGTGGCTGCTGTGAGTGGACCTCTGGGTTGGCCGGCCTCTCGCTGCCACCTCGTGTCTCCGGGCTGGCCTTCGTCCTCAGTGTCCTGCTGGTCCTCTCTGTGCCAGGAGCCTGGCCAGACGGTGGCCGGTCCCACAACCCCAAGTCCTGGTGGGGGCCAGGGGAGAGGTGAGGAGGGTGAGGAGGGTGGTCCACCCTCTTCCACCACTCACCCGCACTGTGCACTCTGATCTAGAGCCCTCTGGAGGGCAGGAAAGTTGTGCGGGGCCGTGGAGGACCCTCAGGGACTGCAAATGGGCCCTTACTACGTCTTTTCAGGGACCAGTGTACATGCAGCCAGGCTCCCACGGGGGGAGCCGCACTTTTCTCCTCTGTAGAAGGGAACCAGTTTCTCTGGCCACAGCCAGCCAGCCTCTTGCTTCCATTAGAAATGCCAAGTGCCAGGAGCCGAGACAGTGGTGGGGTGTAGAGCCCCCCAACCCCACCCCTGGCTGGGTGGTCCCGGTCTCGGGGCGCCGTGCCTTCAGGGTGGCGCGGTGGAAGAACAGCACACACAGCTGCAGCAGGTCCCACAGGGCAAAGCTGTCCTTCCTCTCGACCCCGATGAGGTTGGGCGGCGAGAACGGCTTCTCCCCATTGATGCCAGCGTAGCGCTTTGTGGTCCAGGGAAAGACGCCAAACTGCGCAACGTATTTCACTAGAACGGTCGCCTGAGAAGGAAGAGAGCCACGGTCCCTGCAGAGGTGATGAGGGGACACGCGCATGCGCAGGCACTGCCACGTGTGTACACACGCTATACACACACAGTGGACCCCAACACACGCACACCCATTGCCCAAACTCAAACTCACGCCCTTGAGTTGATGCAGCTCCTAGCCACCTCCAGGACGGGAGAGCCGCCCTGTGGTCTCCGACACTGGAACGCTTTCCACGCACGAGAGGAAGGCCCTGGCCTCCTCCCAAGGAGTGGCTGGTGAGTTTGAACTGCTGACCTTGCAGGGCACAGCCCAATGGGTAACCGCTACGCCACCAGGACTCACACATATCACACACACACACACACAACACACTCACGGCACACATACACACACGTACAGACTGCACATATGCTCACACACAGCACAGGTTGTACACATGTATAATACACATGCACACATACACAGGGCACACAACATATCACACACTCGTTACACATGCACATCACACACAACACATGCAACACAGAGGTATACATATACACATCACACACTCATGTTACCCATGTGCACACATGTGCACACATTTGCACACACCCTTTCACATGACTCACAGTGCTCATACACACATGCACAGTATACATGAACACATGTCTATACACATACACATGGCAAAACATGCCCATATTGTATGTCTATGTGCATAGCACACACATAGATATATGACACACATACCCATAATCTACATAAACTATGCACGCATACACACCACACACAGCACATGTATACACAACCTATATAGCACACATCACACACTTGTTATGCACACACCATATATATACATGCATGTGCACACTACAAATATACACATGTGTGCCCACCTGTGTGTATAAACATGCAGACCCGCACTGCTGCATGTGTACATTATACACACAATGCACATTACACACACGTATACTGTGCATATACACTGCACACACATGTAGACATACATACACACATCACACACTCATGTTACCCGCAGCATACACAGACACACAGCACATCGGACATGTGCACCGGAGGGAGAGAAAGCCCAGCAAATGATAGTCAGGCCCCCAGCAGCGAGGGGCCTTCGTGGTCGGCAGCAGAGGCTGGAGACAAACCAGGCTGAACCCAGGAAGTGGTGAGCACCCAGGCCACGGACACTGCAGGGGGTGCTCCCTTCCGGGCACCAGGAGCCACGGCCTCCCTCCTCTCTGCTGGCACTGGCTCTCTCCCCGGCCACCCCTCACCAAGTCCTCAGTGCAGTCATTTTAAAAGATGATCTTTTTCATGCTAACATGGCTCAGAATGGCTTGGTTGCCTTGGGCAGGAGGAGAGGTGGCCCCAAGTCCCCGTCCTTGTCACTCAGAAAGGTGATCGAGGATCGGGAGAGGAGCCACACCCGGAAGCAGGGAGCCTGGAGTCGGGACGGCCAGCAGAGCTTCCTACCCGGGCTGGCGCTCCAGGGACAGGAAGGGCGCCCGCGGTCTTGAGGCCCTGGCTCTCCAGTCGGACGGAAGCCCTCAGGTGCGATCCAGGCACCTGCGGAACTCGCTGGGCTGATGCCTCGGGAGAAAGCCCTGACAATATGCCGCAGCGCAATCGGCACTGGGAGCTCTGGGAGCTCCACTTGGCTCCATCACCCCCTGGGGCCGCGGGAGTCCCAATCCACCCCGCACCTGCAGGGGGTCCCTCCCGGCGGCTGTTAGGGAAGGCAAGCAAGGGTTCTATCACAGAGACACCACCTGAGGGTGGACGGGGCGGCGAGGTGGCTGCACCCACCGCACATTTGGTGGCTCTCAGGTGTCAGTGGTGCTGGCAATTGGTGACTCAGAGTTGCCTGGGCGCAGGCCAGAGCTCACACTACCACGTTGGATTCTGCCCGAGACCCAAACCCACCTCAGCCTTCTTGACTGTAAAGCAGGAGGGGTGGTCTGCACTTCATCGCTACCCAAACTCAGTCCCGCCAAGTCAATGCCGGCTTTTACAGGGACCCTCGGGGACAGGGCAGAGCTGCCCCTGGGCGTCTCTGAGACTGCCTCTCTATGGGAAGGGAAAGCCCCTCTTCCTCCTTAGGGGTGGCTGGTGGGGTCAAACCGCCAACCGAGCCATTAGCAGCCCTACACCCTAACTACGCCTGTCGAGACCGTGAGGGAACCCAGCGGTGTCAGGCCTCCACAGTTTGCTGGTAGTAACGTCTGAACAGTCGTCTGAGGTCTCGTGCGTCAAGCTCGGCTCCCAGCACGGGGTGGGACGTTGACAAACCCGCTGCAGATGGTATCAGGAGCGGAGGCCGGGCCAGGAATAGATAAGCTTCGTGTTGACAACACACTTGGATCCGGTGGGAGTTGAGAACAATTCCCAGGCTATAACTGGGTCTGTGGGAAGAGGCTCTGTGTGGATTAGTAATGTCTGCCCTGGGCACCTGGCTGGGAGGAGATCTTATCTGTGTTAAAGAGTGTTTTCCTGCCCGGATACCAATAAAACTGCTCACGAATAGTTAGAAGAACTGGACTCTCGCCAAGGTCTTCAGACGTGTTGTCCTAGCTTCTGGCTTTGTAATCTGGAGACAGGACCTGCCTCCTCTCACGTAGTACTACCCCAGCCTCGGAGGAGCGTGGAGCCAGCTAGACTCTTTGGTATTAACTGAAAGTCAGAGTTACAGGAATACTTTTCAGGGAATCCAATTTTAGCAGACTCGGGCACAAGGAGTAAATCAAATTACGCCTGCTTCATTTAGAATTAGGAGGATCTGCTTAAACACGGCGGAGCCCGGTGGCACGCCTGGTGATGAGCCTGGTTGCTAACCGAAAGAAAGGTCATCAGATCGAACTATACCCAGCAGCTCTGAGGGAGAAAGACGTGACAATTTGGGGTGGGGGGGGGAATCCTGCGGGGCAGTTCTATTCAGTCACGCAGGGTGACGATGACTTGCAATCCACTAACCACACCACCACCACACTGTAGTATGGATTTTTAGAAGTGCACTCCGTTCAGTGGATTAAAACATCCCCTGCAATGATGTTCCTTGGTTCATGTAACACTCCCTCTCCCCAGCACCTGCAGTGACAGTCTGAGCTCCCGAGGCACTGCCTGGTAGATGGCCCCTGGAGCCGCTGCCTCCTCCCCAGGGAAAGCTCAGCGATTGGAGGGTGGAGGCCAGGCCAGGGGTCGCTCCCTCCTGTCCAGAACCTTTGGGAGTGGAAGACGGCAGGCGTCCATCAGACCGGCTAACTCAACTTCTGCTCTACTGAGCTCCACGCCCAGGCTGCTCCCCAGTCTACCAGGCCGGAGGCTGACCCCAAAGAGCGCTGGAGAGAATGGCTTCGTGGTCGTTGAGGCCAAGAGACGCCAACAGGGGCACAGGTGTGGCTAGCATCCTCAGGGCTGGACCCACAGTATATACCGAGCGCCTCCTACACAGGAGCCCAGCGGCTAACCCAGCGGTTACTGGCTCAAGCCCACTCGGCCTGAGAGACGGACCTGGCGCTGGCTCCTGTGAAGACGGCAGCGGAGAAAAGTCCAGGGACAGTTCTGTGTCACCTGGAGTCTCTGTGAATGGGACTCCCTCCGCAGCTGGCTGGGGCCTTACAGAGAAGCTCAGACTGGTGGCCTGTCCCACCCACAAAGCTCCAGGGGTTGTGGTCCAGACAGGCCTGGACCCTAGAGGGCTGTGGACCCAACAACAAGCCTCACTGTGTGCACGTGGCACATTATGCTCTGTTTAGGAAGGCTTTATCACTACAGCCTCGGACTGCAGAAGGCGGTGCCTGGGGCTCCACTCTGAGCCCTCCACCCACGTGAAGAAGCCAAGGATGGACACACACACACACACACACCCCTTGGCCCCTACCTCTGTGTAGTAGATTGCCGCCATCCAGAAGCGTTTGGAAGGTCTTGGGACAGAAAGCATGGCCCACAGGAACGACAGGATGGGGAGAACCGTGGAGATGATCGAAGCTGAGAGCGTGTGGTTCAGAACAATCACAAAATAGCACAGCATCTCAGACCGGGACTCGGCCAGCTGGTAGACGGCGAAGGCCAGTTTCACCAGGCGTGGCAGCTGTCCATAAAACCTGTCTGACTGCATCAGCTCCTCGTCCCCGTGTGCCCTGCAAGGCAAGCGAGCCTGCCGTCAGCCCGGGTGCCGCAGGGCCCCAGCCTTGAACGGAGCAGGTGTGGCCTTCCCCGGAGAAACCCCAACAGGTTCAGAAATGGCGGGCCTCATGCAAGGTGATATGGGGGCTCCCTGAGGGGAGGCTGGCTGGGGTCTTACAGAGAAGCTCAGACTGGTGGCCTGTCCCTCCCACAAAGCTCCAGGGCTTGCGGTCCAGACGGGCCTGGACCCTAGACGGGTTTCTCAAACCCCTTGCCCAGTGACCCTTTGGGTGTCGGGGAGTGGGGACAGGATCCCCCCACTCTCCGGTGACTGTTTTAGGCGACAACAGGGCAAGGTTGCAGCCCTGGTACAGATCCCTCACAGTCCCCAGACAGGGGCCGCCAGCACTCCCACGGCTGCCTCCCACTCTCTCAAAGCCAGATTCCCTGTCAGGGGAGATGACGTCTGTTCCCGCCTCGACCCGCCAGTCTCCAACTCAGAGTGTCGCTGCAGGGCATTACCCAAAGTGACCACCCTGGCCCCGGACTCCCACCTCCACACCCGGGCAAAGGTCTGACCTTAAGAGAGGCTGAGGCTCCCCCGCGTGTCTGTTTCTCCTGGGACTCTCTGGGGCCTGGGGGGCTTCTTGGGTTGGAGGGTAGCCCTCGGTTTCTTTGGGGGGCGCTGGCCCGGACCCCACAGCCACTCTGCTGTCCACAGGCCCAGGTGGGCGCTGAGACTCGGCCCCTCGGCTTGGACACTCCTTTTGTCTCTCTCCTCTCCCGGCAGAAGCTGCTTGGGGGGACAGGCAGGACCCCAGGATGCATTCTGTGGGGGGCTTCCTCCCCTGCAAAAATATTGCAGGTCTTCGTTATCTGAAGGAAAGCAAGCTGGGGTGGGGGTGGGGGCAAGCTGGGGAAGGCCCTAGGGGGTACGCTTCTGCCATGGGGTGACCCCAAGTCTGATTTCTGCCCTAGGACACAAGCTACAACTACCAGGGAGTTCTCCTGCTGCTGGGACAGGGCGGCCGGAGCGCCGTGCGGTCAGCAGGCTGGGCTCTGGACCTAGAGGATGGGGGGCAGTGGGCCTACTGCAGCCACGCCAGGCCTAGGTCAGGGTGCTGGGCGACAATGAAAAGAAGCTAATGTCTGAAAGCGGGCTGTGGGCGGACTTGCCTCCACCATGACCCGCCGCCACCACGCGTGGCGGTCCACCCGCAGCGCTGCTGCGACGCCGGCGTGCGCTCCGCTCAGTGTCCCCAGGGCCGCGGTGACATCATCCAGCAGCACCTTCCCCAGCACCCAGAGGAGCTGGGCCAGCGCCGTGAGCCTCTGGGCCATGCCGTCTATGGGAGACAGGACAATACGCTAGAGGGGCCCCCATTCGGAGACACAGCGGGAGGGCCTTCTTCGTCGTTCACTGCCCTGCACTTTACCAAGCTTGATGTCCTTTCCCCAGGGACTGGCCTCTCCTGACCACGTGTCCGAAGAATGTACGGCGGAGTCAGTCTCGCTCTGGCTGTCATTCGTCCAATACTGAACAGGCCCCAAACCAAAGTCACCACCACTGAGCCCATTCCGACCCATCATTCCCTATCAGCACAGAGAAGACCCTGCCTCTGGGGGGTCCGAAAGCCTCCTCTCTCTCCTGAGGAGCGGCTGGTGGTTTCGAACTGCTGAAGGTGTGGTTAGAAGCTGAACGTGTCGCCCCTAAAAGCCTTCCAACATCCAGAAAAAGAAGGTTCCACTGTCACGGAGTCGTTCCCGTGGGACAGGGCGGAACTGGCCCTGTGGTCGCTGAGACTGTAGCTCCCTACGGACCAGAAAGCCCCCCTCCCTCCCTCGGAGCGGCGGGGGTCTCCGTCTGCTGACCTGGCAGTGAGCGGCCCCACACGCACCCACGGTGCCCCCAGGGCTCCGCACACCACGACGTGGTGGTTGTGCGGTGTCTCAAGTTGAGTTGCTTCTGACCCACAGTGCCCCAGTGCCCAACGGAGCGAAACGCCTCCTGGCCCAGCACCGTCCTCACAACGACTCTCCAGGTCTTCCTCTCTTTCACAGCCCCTCCGCGCCACCAAACTGATGCCCTTCCCCAGAGACGGGCCTCTCCCAATAACCTGTCCAAATACAAGTCTCCCGCTGTTTTGCCTCTAGAGGGAATTCTGGCCATCCTTCTTCCAAGAC